AAAATTTTCACAGAAACCTTTTTGGGGAGAAACGTGACAGAGACATATGTACAGCGAGCAAAAGAAGGCGTGGCAGGAAAGACGTAAAACAACCCAGAATCAAAGCGCAATCTGATTTACGGTTAGACAGGAAATATGAGCAAAAAACGATGAAAGGGTTCTAAAGAACTATTTAAGTAGGTAACAAATGTTTCGGTTCATTAAGTCGTATACATTTCTTACCATTACCACAATTGGACCTCGTCAGAACGACGATTGTGGCAAAAAATGAATTCTGAAAGGTAATGCAGTAAAGTAGGAAACTGAATAAGCTAGTTGATGTGCCTGTAAAAGTAAAAAGTAGAAGGGAGAAGATAAAGTTAGATCTTTCAACCGCCACTGATCTGTTCCGCCCTTTGTGATAAATATATAAGCACGTAAGTTTTCCGGTAAATTTTATTGTTGAGTAGTGTTCAACGTGTTCTCCGCCTGTAGCCGTGCTGCAACATTTCGTCCCTAGCCCATCCGACTCAAACTGCGACTGTATTCTTTTTATTGTGTTGATAAAGTTTTGTTTGGTTAAGCCCGGCGTCTCCAACAAGCAGATTCGGCACCATCATCATTGTCCGAACAGCCTGGTCCGTCTTGTTGCCCAAATATCGTCACCATCCAACCAACGCGTAATATGTATACAACATACATGCATACATACGCACATGTATATTTACATATAAATACACACACACACGCACATACATATACATAAACATACACATACACACAGACAAAGCTGCACATATACGCACATGCACTCATTGTCCGAGAATTCTAGTCCGTCTTGTGGCCTAAATGTCGTCACCACCCAACAAAAGCGTAAAATGCATACAACATACATGCATATATACACACACGTATATTTACATATACATACATACACACATACACACACACGTACATATGCATAAAAATACACATACACACAAACAAAGGTGCACATATACTTACACACACTCATCATCCGAACAGTCTAGTCCGTCTTGTCGCCCAAACATCGTCATCATCCGACCAACGCGAACACACACGCACACAAAGGCGCACATATACGCATATACATATACACCGCCGTAATGAAGAGGTCCAACTGTGCTAACGGTAAGAAATGCATACGACTTAATGGACCGAAACATTTTTTACCTGTTACAAATATTTCCATACTCCCCTTTCCCTTTCTTACTTCGCTTTTTATGCGTTTTGCGCTGTGTAACAGCGCTACAAAACGCATATTGTCACGGGGTTGTCTGTGCGTGTGTGCGTTTGTGTATGTGTTTGTGTGTGTGTGTGTGTGTGTGTGTGTCCACATTTTGTCACGCACTTTCAACTCGGGAACCCCAAAAGCTAGGCGGCTGAAATTTTGGTACAGTGTTCCCCGCCAACGGATGACTCGGCAAATTTAAATTCAGCTTTCCCTTACCCGCGGGTAACAAGTACGGCCCCGTGAAGGTTTTTTACGGGTAAATTAATATCTCAGGAACCACTGAGACTAGCAGGCTGAAATTTTAGGGTAATAACCCCCTCCCCACGCTTAACCTTGCCCACTCAAATTCAGTGTTCCCGCGGTCTCGGGTATCACCTGCGGGCTAGGGAAAGTTTTTACGGGTAAATTATTATCTCGGGAACCACGGGGTACAGGAGGCTGAAATTTTAAGGTAATGGCCCCCTGCCCCCGCTCAACCTTGCCCATTCAAATTCAGCTTCCCCGTACCCGCGGGTAACGCGTACGGTCCCGTAAAAATTTTTCACGGGTAAGTTAATATCTCGGGAACCACGGAGTCTAGGAGGCTAAAATTTTAAGGTAATGACCCAGTTCTCACGCTCAACCTTGCCCATTCAAATTCAGCGTTTTCGCGCTCTCGGCTACTACCTACGAGCTAGTGAGAATTTTGGCAGCTAAACTATTAACTAGGGAATCTCGGAACGATATTAACCCTTCAAGGTTTCGAATTCAGTTTTCATGCGCTGGTGCGTGAAATTTTTAACTGTCTGCCAATTTTAGAACTATTTTTACATAGACAAAAGTACAAAGCAGTGAAAGTCATTAATAGGCAG